GCCCTAAAACCCTAAAACGCCTAAAACCATAAGACCCTGTTGTAAAACCCTATAAATCCCTATAAAACCCCCAAAAAACCTACAACTCCGTGATGCAAGTTCCCCCTCAAGTCCCTTTTTCCCCGGTGCCGAGAGCTGCTACCCCTTTTGGCGAACAGCATGTCTGTGGCGAAAAAAGCTCCTTGAAGTTACAGAAGCCCTAGGCCCTAAACCCTAAACCCTAAACCCTGAACCCTGAACCCTCAACCCTAGCCCTAAACCTTAAACCCTAAACCCTAAACCCTAAACCCTAAACCCTAAACCCTAAACCTAAACCCTAAACCCTAAACCCTAAACCCTAAACACACCACGGCTAAACTCAACAATCCCAAGCCCGTAGAGTCTAAACCCAGCATTAAAGAGTCCTCAAGGGCTTCCCACTACTCCCAAAGCTCCCCTCAGGTTCCCTAGGTACCTACCCCGAATGAACCCCCCCCCCTCCTCCTTTAAGGACCCTATAGCAGTAACCCTGCACACCATACCCTAAACCGCAAGCCCTAAACCCAGTAACCCTAAACCCCAAACCCCAAACCCCAAAACCTAAACCCTAAACCCTAAAACCCTAAACCCGAAGCCTCGAACTCCAGTGTCTCCGAGGCCGGCGCTCCATCCGGCGAGATCGAAGATGGCTGGGTCCAGCAGCTGGAGTACTTCAAGGAAGAGGCCGCGGTTTAGGGTAGGTTTTTAGGGTTTTAGGGTTTAGGGTTTTAGGGTTTAGGGTTTAGGGTTTAGGGATTTAGGGTTTTAGGGTTTAGGGTTTAGGGTGTTAGGGTTTTTGGGTTTAGGGTTTAGGGTTTAGGGCTTAGGGTTTAATTAGGGCTTAGGGCTTAGCAGGGGCTGACTCGATCTTTCTATTTTTAGTACCACCCCTCATCCTTACATAATCCTTGTAAACAAGAACCTTTTCTGTATAGGGCCCCAAAGTCTACCCTAGTGGGTCTGAAGCCTCGAATCACGGTTTCTAGGTTTGAGGTTTAGGGTTTATGGCTTGAATGGCTTAGGGTAGTTATAAGGAACTGAAGTCACCTTGATTCGGAAACGATCAAAAAGCGATGAACCAACCCTAAACCCTGAACCCTAAACCCTAAACCCTAAACCCTTATAAGCCCTAAACCCTAAACCCTTATAAGCCCTAAACCCTTATAAGCCCTAAACCCTAAACCCTAAACCCTTATAAGCCCTAAACCCTAAACCCCAAACCCCCTTCTGAAATTCCCCCGACGTGCGCCGTTTGTTGGGACGGAGCGGTGCGAAGAGACGAGCCTAAGACCTTGTGAGCGTGGGGCTTAAGGAGTTAGAGGTTTAAAGGGTTTAGGGTAATTACATTGGGGCTGGGGTTGAGGGTTTAGGGTTGAGGGTTGAGGGTTGAGGGTTGAGGGCTTATAATATAGTTTAGAAGGTCAGGCACGCAGGCGCTCGAACATCTTTATGATCGTCACAAGCTACACCCTAAACCCCAAACTCCAAACCCTAAACCCTAAACCCTAAACCCTAAACCCTAAACCCTAAACCCCTAACCCCTGAACCCCTGAACCCCTCTTCCGAGCACTGCCGCGGGCCGTGGCCAGTGGCGCGATACCGTGTGGCGGCAGCCCGCGGTGTCGAACCCAGGCTAGGGTTTAGGGTTTAGGGTTTAGGGTTTAGGGTTTTGGGTTTTGGGTTTTGGGTTGTGGGTTTAGGGTTTAGGGTTTAGGGTTTAGGGTTTAGGGTTTAGGGTTTAGGGTTTAGGGTTTAGGGTTTAGGGTTTAGGGTTTGGGGGCCCTGCCCTCACCTTGGCCACCCAAGTCGAGTCACGACTGTGAAATCCGGGCCAAGAGGGCATGGACTCTCGGCCTGGGGTTCCGAACCCGGACTTTGTGGTCGCAGGCTACCTAAACCCTAAACCCTAAACCCTAAACCCTAAACCTTAAACCCTAAACCCTAAAACCCTAAAACCCTAAAACCCTAAAACCCTAAACCCTAAACCCTAAACCCTAAACCTTAAACCCTAAACCCTAAAACCCTAAAACCCTAAAACCCTAAAACCCTAAAACCCTAAAACCCCAAACCCTACACCCTAAACCCTTGTTGCGCCACCTTTGAACAGCGGCACGACTTTCTTTCGAAGCAGCGTGAGGCATGCTCCTAGGCACTTTCTCAGTGTCATGTTCAGTTGATCCTTCAGCTTCCCTAGGGCTCCGGGCCTCTCCAGGGGCGTCAACCCCAAACCCTAAACCCTAAACCCCAAACTCTAACGCTAAACCCGAAACCCTAACCCCAAAACCCTAAACCCTAAACCCCAAAGCCCTAAACCCTAAACCCTAAACCCTGAACCCTAAACCCTAAACCCCCAAAGCGGCCAGAAACCAACAAAAACCTCTGCAGTTGGACGGCGCCCTGGGCCGGGCCTGGAGAAGCTCAAACTCCTCCGAGCAGGGAGCTAAAGGGTTTAGGGTTTAGGGTTTTAGGGTTTTAGTGTTTAAGGGTTTTTTTGGGTTTTGGGGTTTTAGGGTTTTAGGGTTTTAGGGTTTTAGAGTTTGAAGGTTTAGGGCCAGGCAGTGTTATGGTGAAGGGAATAGGGGCTGAAGGGTGTAGGATTTAGGGTTTTCGGGCTTTAGGGTTTTGCGGTGTAGCGTTTAGAGCCTACAAGGCTTTAGGTTGTTAGGGAGTAGGCTTTGGGGTTTTAGGGTGTAGGGTTTATGACTTAGGCTTCAGGGAGTAAGGGTAGGGCCAGTAGGGTTTAGGGTTTTAGGGCTTGAAGGGTGTAGGCTGTTGGGTTTTTTTTGGGGACCGGTGACCGGCATTTGGGGTTTTTGGGTGCATGGTTTCGTGTTGAGCTCGTAGGCTTACCGCAAGGCAAGGGTTGCAAGGTGCAAGGGTTGATGTGACGCCGAGCAGTACCCATCTTCTCCTTAGAGGATTCCCAAAGAACCTGCCTGAACCCTAAACCCTAAGCCCTAAACCCTAGACCCTAGACCCTAGACCCTCTAGATCCTAAACCCTAGACCCCTTCGTGTTTCTGGCTTCTTTCGGGGGCACCTAGGTGGTAGGGTTTGGTTGTGCTCGAAACCCTCAGATTTTAGGGTCTAGTCAGAGTCCTAGGATTCGTTGGGGCTTTCCCCCTGAGAGGGTTAGGGTTTAGGGTTTCGGTAGGGTTTGGGTAGGGTTTAGGAGTAGGGTTTTGGTGTTTAGGGTTTGGGTTTAGGGTTAAGGGGTTAGGGTTTTTAGTGCTTGAAAGCAAGCCCTCGCCCCTTCAGCTCTACTATCCTAAGATCCTACGGCACAGAACCTACACCCTAAGCTCCTAAACCCAAAATCTTCAAGACGGCGAGGCCAGCAGGAACCCTAAACCCACTAACCCTAAACCCTAAACCCCAAGGAACACCAGCAGCCAGTAGACCTCAACAACCGCATGCCGACTTACGTTAGGGCCGCGTTGACATAGGGTACAGGGCTACTCTCAGGCCAACATTAGAGCCCAAACCCCTAAAAGGTTTAGGGTTCAGGGTCTAGCGTTTGGGTTTAGGGGCTCATAAACCCGAAACCGCCCTAGACCCTAAACCCTAAACCCTAAACCCTAAACCCTAAACCCTAAACCCTAAACCCTAAACCCTAAACCCTAAACCCTAATCCCTAAATCCCTAAATCCCTAAACCCTAACTACACTACCCTTCACTAAGGCTCTGAGCTTTGGCTTGCACCTACCCCGGCGACGTTTAGCCCAGACTTTGGGATTATGTGTCGTGAATGTGGTTTGTGTCACTCTACACCCTAAGCCCTAAGCCCTAAGCCCTAAACCCTAAACCCTAAACCCTAAACCCTAAACCCTGAACCCTGAACCCTAAACCCTAAACCCTAAACCCTTCGGATTTCCGCCTTGGGGCTTTGGAGGTTTAGTGTTTAGGGTGTAGGGTTTGGGGTTAGGGCAGAACGAGCTTCAAGACCAAAGCGTGAAGATTGCATTCGGGGACTCGGGAAATAAGAGGGGCTTTGATTTTTGGTCAGAGTAGAGTAGGGCAGAACCCTAACCCTAAGGGTCCATGCACCTATATAGGGAGTACTTGGGCCTTAGAGTACCTCCTGGAGGGTTTGGTTGTCCCCTTTATTTTGGGAGTTGAGGGCTTTTGGGTTTTTTTTTGGGGTTTGCAGGGTTTGCGGGCTATACAGGGACTTTGGGGCCCAAGTATTCCCCATTAGGTACATGGACCCTTAGGGTAATCCTAAACCCTAATAAACCACAGCTCACAAGCTTACAGCTGGGCTGGTAGTGCTGCGCGCGTCGTTCCAAGAAGCTGCTGGCTGGAGCAAAAAAGGATCTCAGAAGGAACCGAATGGGTTGGGATGTTCCCCCTTAATCTAACGGTCCTTATACTAACAGTCCTTCATAGGGATTCTAGTATCCCCCCCTATTATAATCCTTATTAAGGACTGTTCGCATAAGGAAGAACGTGCCCAAACATGGGCCTTGTTACACCCCACTCGCTTACATCCCCATGGCTCATCATGAAAGCACTCTGGGCAGCTGTTGGCTTGGGGTTGCATAGGATTCAGGGTTTAGGGTTTAGGGTTTAGGGTTTAGGGTTTAGGGTTTAGGGTTTAGGGTTTAGGGTTTAGGGTTTAGGGTCTGCATGCCCGATGCGTTCGCCTGTTGTTCGTGTCTCAAGCACATGCAAAGGCTACACAGTTCATTCACTAGTCGCTCGTCACCACTGTAGGAGAGCCTTGCAAGACAGTCCTTCGCAAGCCTACCCTCAGGGTCCATGTACCTCATATACACTTGGGCCTCAAAGTCCCTATACAGGAAGTACTCTACTTCAGGCCCAAGAATTCACTGTTTAGATACATGGACCCCTCTGGGGCGAACTAGGCGTCGAATTGCTGGGAAGAGCGCCCTTTGTGATCCAGGGCTCCGTGCTATGAGGACTCTTCGCCTTTGTCGCCTGGGTGGGGATATCTTGGAACTGGAAGTGTCGGACGCGGACATGGAAGAGCTGCACAGCATCAGGGACTTGAAGAAGCTTCTTGGGGGTACTTGGGAATCTCTTGTGTTTTTTTGGATACTCCATTCCATTCCCAAGGAACAGCCAAAATTGGGGATGCTTGGGAATGTCTGTTTTTTTGTGTACTAGAATTCCTCAGAAGCAGTTTTTTTTGTCTTTTTTCCCTAGGGTTTCAGTGGGAGGCTTGTGGCTGCGGCTGACCCCAAGAGGCCTTGCGCCAGGTTAGTGCGCCTGGTTGCGAAGGCTGGTGTGTTGAAGGACTTGGCAGCCCAGTGGTACCCTTTACCTTTTTGTGTTTTGCTTTGGGTTCCCTGAAGAAAGTAACCAACCAAAACCAAGGGTGTCCTTATTCTAATTCCTAAACCCTAAACCCTAAACCCTAAACCCTAAACCCTAAACCCTAAACCCTAAACCCTAAACCCTAAACCCTAAACCCTAAACCCTAAACCCTAACCCTGTTGGTTACTGGGCTACAAAGAGGATGATGAGCCCATTAGTGCAGCCGACCTGGGGCCCGCTTGTGTGCTCCAGTACCTTCAGGTGGGGGTTTACGAAAGGAAGGGTCCCTCGGGGTTTAGGGTTTAGGGTTTAGGGTTTAGGGTTTAGGGTTAGGTACCTTTTTGGGGCCCTTATTACAAATTATATGGGAAATCTACTATGTGGTTCAGGTGGGGGCTTACGAAAAAATTAGGGTACCTTTTTGGGGTCCTGATTCTAAATTATCAGGGAAAAATCCCGGGTCTATTTTAGGAGTGCCCCATTTTTGTCCTTATAATAACATATAAGGGAAAACCACCTTTTTGGGGGTCTTTTTTAGGGGTCCCAAGTTCAAGACAAACCTACTATTTGGGGTCGATTTTCGGGGTCGACTAAATTCGTAAACCCCCAGGTGTCCTGGATGTCAGAACTTGAAGGCGTGCTGGGGCTTGCTGGGGAGACGGTTCCGGAGGGTGTGTGGCCAAATGCTGATGAGCAACGCCAGCCTTGGACGCTCTTTGCCCCAGACCTGAAGCTGCTGTTGGAATCTTGTTTGCGGAAGCGCCGTTCTGACCACAGGAACTTCCACTCATTGAAGAAAATTGAGGAATCTTGGCAGGCCGCTGTGCTGAGCCTGCCGGCCACGGTGTTTTCGGAGACGAGCTTGCTGAAGGACTTGTTTGCCTTCGGCCAGGACTGGGATTGGGAGTTTCCTCCGTTTCGAGAGACCGTGGAGCAAGTTGCCTCGCTCCTGCAGCCTGACACGGTCCAGCGAGCCTTGCCGGCTGCCGACGCAGATACTGCCAAGGTCCTCTGGGAAAGCGTGCGTATGAAGAAGCCCAGGCGCGATAGCCGCTCAATCGGAGGCTCGTCGAAAACAGCCCGTTGCATTGCCGAGCTCATCAACAAAGGCCTTCCGCGGTGGTGCTGGGCTGGCCACTTAGTCGCTGAATGAGTATACACGTTACACTTTTTGGGATACTAGAATCCCCTTTGAAACTGAAAGTGTGCACTTTTTTGGGGGCCTATGAACTCAGCAACTAAGGCCACATGGCGCCCTTTAATGACAACTTGCTTCAATACATACTGGAGCCCACACACTTCCGCCACCGGCACGACAAGGACAAAGACCAGGCGAGGCTGTGCATCGTTGTCGCCATGCACCTCACGCTTGAGGAGCTGTTGCACCAAAACGACGATGGGTGTTCGGCAGCTTGCTAGCCCAAGTGGTACCCTGTTCCCTTTATTACTATTATTATTCTTATTATTCTTATTATTCTTAATATTCTTTTTATTCTTATTATTCTTATTATTCTTCTTATTCTTCTTATTATTATTCTTCTTATTATTGTTATTATTATTTGGCTCAAGGTTCCCTTACTTTGTAAGCCTACCCCGAAAAAGGGTGCCCTTGTTGTAATATGGGGGGGTTTACGACAGCAGGGGACCCTAAAATAGACCCCCCTAAATGGTAGAACTCCCTTAGAACAAGGACCCCAATAAAATACCCTGATAGGGCTAACCCTAAACCCTACACCCTAGATCCTAAACCCTAAAACCCTATAAACTACCCTAAGGTGCCCTGATAGGGCTACTGGGCGACCAAGGCGTTCAGCTACGCGGTCGATTTTGCTGCTGGGGGATGCCACGACCGATGGTGGGAGCAGGTTCGGGAGGTGATCAAGCGGCAGCTGATCCTTCGCTTCAGGGAGGTTTCGGGCCCTGCGTCGAAGTTGAACGCAATCATCGCCCAGATGTACAAGGAGTGGTGGGATTTCTGCGAGGATGACGATCATCACTTTCGTGAAGTGGTCGCTGCGTTTGAAGAGCATCTGCGAGACCTTACCATGAGTTGCCCACTCTCCGGCCGACCAGGCAGTAAACCCTAGACCCTAGACCCTAGACCCTAAACCCTAAACCCTAAACCCTAAACCCTAAACCCTAAACCCTAAACCCTAAACCCTAAACCCTAAACCGACCAGGCAGGGGCGTGAGCGGCACGCGTTGGGAAGAGGATGGCTCTCGGAATTGGGCCGACCAAGGCTGGCAGTGGGGCTCGGAATCTTCGGCAAGGTTGGCGAGTTTCAGGCATTTGTTTAAGGGGTTTAGGGTTTAGGGTTTAGGGCTTAGGGTTTAGGGTTTAGGGTTTAGGGCTTAGGGTTTAGGGTTTAGGGTTTAGGGTTTAGGGTTTAGGGTTTAGGTTTAGGGTTTAGGTTTTAGGGTTACGGACTTCAGGTGCCACAGCCAGGAAGGTTTCGGTCAAGCAGGGTTTTAGGGTTTAGGGTTTAGGGTTTAGGGTTTGGGGTTTGGGTTAGCGCCCAGGAGGACGGATGGTGGTCGGACATGTCGCGTTGGCGAGATGACTCTGGATGGTCGAACTTTGAGCCCCACTGAATCATTGCTTGGTAGCCCCGTTTAGGGTTTTGGGTCTAGGGTTTAGGTTTTAGGGTTTAGGGTTTAGGGCCTTGGCCCTTTTCTTGGCTTTAGGTCCCCTTACAATGCAACCAGCCCCATAAAAAAGGGTGCCCTTATTATTAGAATATGGTCGCTGGGCTATCAAGGTTGGCGGAACAAACTCCCTGAGTAGTTGGAGCGCGGCGCGTATCTCGCCGCGTGGTTTCCTTCGATTTCTTGGGTGGGGTGGGTGGGGGGGGGTGGGGGGGGGGGATAATTCCGCCCCCCCTATTGCAACTTGCCAGCATGTCCTCAGTCTTTTGGTGCTCCAGCTTGCAGGGTTTGGGGTTTGGAGTTTAGCGGGCTTCGGGGTTTAGGCGACTTCCAGCCCGCCAGGAACCCCCGTTTAGGCCTCTGAGTCTCCAGACCGATAGCGCAATCCGCCCTATGGGCTTGGGGGGGTTAGGGTTTAGGGTTTAGGGTGTATAGGGCTTAGGGGGTTTAAGGGTACTTACGGCTCTGCTTTGTCCCAGGGTTTAGGGCTAGGATTGAGGATTGAGGATGTGGGGCTTAGGGTTGAGGTCTTTGGGTTTGAGGTTCAGGGTTGAGGTTTTCCCAAAACCTGATTCCGGAAATCCTACTGCCCCAGAATCCTCAAGCAACCTTTCCTCTAAAGCCCTACACCTTCAAACATCCCTAAGCCCCTAAACTCTAAACCCCTGAAAGCCCTAAAATCCTGGGAAACGGAAAGTAGTTTTAGGCATTTCAGAACTCTTGAAAAGGAGTGAATTCCCTAGGCGAAAACACTAAAATACGTGTTTCCCCCTTAGAGTGCCGTTCATAACCCGCTCCCACCTCTCAGGACGCCGAGTGCCTTGTAAATAGCACCATTTTTAGCAAATTCCAGCCATCTTAATTTTCAATCTCTGCACGAAAACGCACGGCGAGATGTGCGCCGCGCACCTAGTTCGATGGGCACCCCAAAGCGGAGAAACCCCCTACCCTGAGTGTCCAATGGTATTTTCTTGTGACCTAAAGCTACTACATAGGAACCGTGCTTAGGGCCATTCAAGGGGAAGGGGCCATTTAAAGGGTACCTTCATGGGCCCTCAATGCCTTGAAGGGATTTTCATGTATGGGCCCGTAATTTGCATAGGGCCAAAGAGGGGGTATCGAAGGGGTCCCCTTTTCAGCGCCCATATTAAGGGGCCATGTAACTACCCTTACACCCAAGAATCTGCTGTACAGGTACATTTCAAGGCTAAGCTTCGGAAAAGAAGCCGCGGAGGGCCGAGGGGTCTGGAAGCAGAACAGCTTTAGGCTTTGTATAGGGTTTGGGGTTCAGGGTTTAGGGTTGGGGTCTAGGGTTTAGGGTTTAGGGTTGGGGTTTAGGGGTTAGAGGTTAGGGTTTAGGGTTTCGGGTTTAGGGGTTAGTATTTTTCCTCAAGCCTTGCCAAGAATCCTTACATGATAACGGTACGAACTACCCAAAATGTCCGTTAAAATTGACGTGCCACTACATTTCTCCATTTGCCTTTTTGTCTGGGTTCTAGTTTAGGGCTGGGGCTTCGGGTTTGGGAAAGTCCTAGATCTCAGCCTTCGGAGGGCTTGGGGTGTACTTAGACCACCCAGCCGATGATTCTTTTCCACGTATCGTCCAAAGGGTCCATGTACCTATATAGCAGATACTTAGGCCTTAGAGGGGTTCCTATATAGTAGCTTTGGTACATGGACCCTGAGTATGTATGAATGCCTGTTTGTGTGTTTGTCCGTCCGTCCGGTTGTCCGTTGGGCTCGGGATCTCGGGGCTTTAGGGTTGGTTTAGGGTTTAGGGTTTAGGGTTTATAAGGTTTAGGGTTTAGGGTTTAGGGTTTAGGGTTTAGGGTTTAGGGTTTAGGGTTTAGGGTTTAGGGTTTAGGGTTTAGGGTTTAGGGTTTAGGGTTTAGGGTTTAGCTTTAGGGTTTAGGCCTTTGGGTTTGGGGTTTTGAGGTTGAAGGTTTTGGTTTTAGGGTTTAGGGCTTAGGGGGGGGGGGGGGGGGGGGGGTGGAAGTGAGGGCGGATGCACGGGGGGGGGGGGGGGGGGGGGGTGGGCGAGACAGTGCACAAACATATCACATCATATTATATGTGTATATATATATACACACATAATATGTATACCCTGTATATATACACACAAAATTGTATGTATACCCTATATATATATATACACGCTGTGTTGCAGAAGTTGTTTTTTTGATGTGAAGGCCAACCTTAGTCCTAAACTGGGATCCTGGCATGCGTCCGGCTTTCCAGGCTAGGCGTGTCCGGGGTCTTCAAGCTCGGGGTATGTTGAGAACAGATAGAGTTCAGGGTTTAGGGTTTAGGGGTTAGGGTTTAGGGTTGAGGGTTTAGGGTTTAGGGTTTAGGGTTTGGCTTTTTCGGCTTTTGGGATGTTCCCCCTTACACAAAAAGTCCTTATTCGGATGATCTTACTTTCCCCATTATAGTCCCTTTTAGCGGCTGTTAGTATAAGGGGGAACATCCCAAGCTTAACGTTAAGCGCTTTTGTATTTAGGAATTGGAGTTCAGGGTTTAGGTTCCACTAGACCCTAAACCCCAAACCCCAAACCCTAAACCCTAAATTTGCAGGAACTGGCGCTTAGGAACTGCTGCCTTCCCCCGTGGAGCATGGCTCACGAAGTTGCCTGAAGAGGAACTAACATCCCTGTCATTTAGGGTTGGTTTACACAGTTTAGGGTCTAGAGTTTCGAGTTTAGAGTGAGGATTTGGGGTTTAGGGTTTAGGGCTTGGGGTGTAAGATTTGGAGTATGTAAGCTCAAACTTAGCAGCGCTTCTTACAATTCACGGGCAACTGCCCCCAACAGCCGAGGCACCCAGAACCCCCACTCCTATGACCCAAACTTTGAGCCTTCCTTACCTAGGACCTTATTCCCCCTTTTTTGGGCTTAGATTCCCTTATATTCCCCTTGGAACCAAAAAGGGTACCCTAGAGAGTCTAGGCTAAATACGGCCCTGGACTCAGGCCCAGGTGGGCAAACCCTAAACCCTAAACCCTAAACCCTAAACCCTAAACCCTAAACCCTAAACCCTAAACCCTAAACCCTAAACCCTAAACCCTAAACCCTAAACCCCTATCCCTAAACCCTAAACGAAGCTTGATATAGCAGCCGTCCTTGCCAGAGATGGCCTTCAAGTAAGCCTAAGGCCTGCGCTGGGAAGGAGGGGCATGAGGGTAAGGGTTGAGGGTTTAAGGGTTTAGGGTTTAGGGTTTAGGGTTTAGGGTTTAGGGTTTAGGGTTTAGGGTTTAGGGTTTGGGGTTTAGGGTTTAGGGTTTAGGTCGGTTTAGGGGTAAGGGTTGAGGGTGGCCCTCACTCTGACTTTTCAGGCTTTTGGCGGTTTAGGGGCTTGAAGGCTTTTGGGCGTTTAGGGGGCTTTTTCAGGCTTTGGGGACATGGTTTAGGCATTTAGTAGCTTCACGGGCCAGGTTTATGATGTGTTGGGGTTTGTGATTGTAGTAGGGTTGAGTGCTAAAGCCTCAACTTTGCCTTTGCGTTCGTCTTGTGGGGGTGTGGGGTTTAGGGTTTAGGGTTTAGGGTTTGGGGTTTGGGGTTTTGGGTTTAGGGTGTGGCTTTTGTTTCAAAGGAGCCATCGTCGGGCTCTCTGTCGATGTTGCACTGTTGCGCCTTCTCGGATGGCTTGGGGAACCATGGGCAGCTTCGTGCCTAAACCCTAAGCCCTAAGCCCTAAGCCCTAAACCCTAAACCCTAAACCCTAAGCCCTAAGCCCTAAGCCCTAAACCCTAAACCCTGAACCGACCGCCCCAAAGCTATCAAGCATAAGGCATGCAAGGATTGAACAGAACCTGTCGCTGTTTCGAATCTGAACACCCTGCGGGCCGAAACTCAAACCCTAAATGATGTCCCAATGTCCTTCACCTTAAGCCCTAAACCCTGAACCCTAAAGCCCTAGCCCTCCCCAGGCAGAGGGTCCCACTCACAATCCAGGACTCGGAAGCCAAAGCCGGATTTCTTGGCAGGGCCTCAAAAGCCGCTGGTTGTTTTCGTTTTTTGTTGCCGGCCCCACTCCCTTAACCACAGCACCCCCAGAAGGTCACGATGCTATACCCTAAGCCCGAAACCCCAAACCCTAAACCCCACAAGCCAACTTCAGGCCCCGCATCATGAGCATCAGGTCCAGCATCACGAGCATCAGCTGGCAACCAGCCTCAGGCCCAGCATCATGAGCATCACCGGCTGCGCTTTTCCGAGTACCGGCCCCGTAAGCATGAGCTGGCAAGCCTGTGCTCGGCAAGCCGGCCTCACGCCCAGCATCATGAGCTAAACCCCGAACCCCAAACCCGAAACCCGAAGCACCAAACCCTAAACCCGAAACCCTAAACCCCAAACCCTAAACCCCAAACCCTAAACCCCACACCCGAAACCCTAAATCATGTTTTTTTTCTTTTTTTTAAACCCCTGTTCTGAGAGGCATGGGTTCGACCTGTGCCGTCAGCATCAGCGAGAAGCTGCAGGCGCGACATGGGGGGTTCGAATGGAGGGTCCTTTGGCTAGGGGTTCAGGGTTCAGGGTTTAGGGTTTGGGGTTTGGGGTTTAGGGTTTGGGGTTCAGGGTTTGGGGTTTGGGGTTTAGGGTTTAGGGTTCACGGTTCAGGGTTTAGGTTTTTGGATTGGGGTTTAGGGTTTGGGCTTCTGGGTCTTTATTGGGTGCTTTTGGGAAGGGCATATAGGGTTCCTTATTGGTGTGTCATTTTTTGGACACCAGCAATAAAGATCCTACCTCACAATGGGTTTTGCGTGGCAGGTTCAACGCGTGTATGCAAACCTGCATAAGGTTTCAATACGGCTCCTATCAGGGTTTGCAGAGGTGTGGAGTGTGGGGTGAGGTTTTAGGGTCTAGGTTGCCTGAGCCCGAAGCCCTAATCCCTACACCCGAAACCCTAAACCCCAAACCCTAAACCTAAGCCCGAAGCCCTAAACGCTATAAACCCGAAGCCCTAAACCCTAAACCCTGAACCCTACACCTTCCAGGTCCTGCAGGCGTCGGGGAAGCCACCCGAGGCTGCCAGAGACCAAGTTTCCCCTCTTTGCCGGCGGTAGGCTGGTTGTACTTTTTTGTGGGTTTAGGGTTTAGGGTTTAGGGAAGAAAGTGCTTGGCTTGCATCGTATGGACAGCCCTGAGGTTCTCCCTGTGGTTCTTTAGGGTTCAGGGTTTAGGGTTCAGGGTTTCGGGTTTACGGTTCAGGATGCAGGGTTTAGGGTTTAGGGTTCAGGGTTTAGGGTTCAGGGTTTCGGGTTTAGGTTCAGGATGCAGGGTTTAGGGTTTCACTCCTCACCCCCTCCGAAGAACCCAGTTCAACCACAGGTTGGGCTTTAGACTTGGGAGGACACGGCGAGCTCCCGAGCACTGACCCAAACCCCACCCTAAACCCTAACCCCCAAACCCCCAAACCCCTAAACCCTAAGCCCTAAACCCTAAACCCTAAACCCTACACCCTAAACCCTAACCCTAAACCCTAAACCTCGAGCCTCAGGAGACTCCGCAGCAGACGCTTCAGCTTCGGCAGCTGCATGAGGCCTCCCTGCCTTAAGGCCTAAGGATTCATTTGTTGTTTGTTTGGGTTTAGGGTTTAGGGTTTAGGGTTATTTAGGGTTTAGGGTTTAGGGTTTAGGGTTTAGGGTTTAAGGATTCATCTGTTGTCTGTTTGGGTTTAGGGCTGTTGGCATAATGTCGTGGGGCAGTTAGGTGGCACCCCAAAACTTTAAACCCAAAACCCTAAACCCTAAACCCTAAACCCTAAACCCTAAACCCTAAACCCCCATGTTAAGGGACCATGTAACTACCCTTCGACTCTGACGCCAGGCGTGCCGCCGGGGAGATGCGGTCGCTGCCAGACGGAGCTTGGAGCAGGCGACCAATGGATTTAGTTAGGGTTTAGGGCTTTGGGCTGAGGGTTTAGGGTTTAGGGTCTTGGGGGAGGTTTTGGGGTTTCATGCTTTGGGTGTTTGGGTTTAGGGCTTGGGGGGGGGGGGGGGGGGTTTGGGGTTTCATGATTTGGGTGTTCGGGAGTTCGGGCTTAGGGGTCTGCAAGGTTTTCATGACCCTTATACTAACAGTTCTTTAGGCATTGTAATAGGGGGTGCTATCGTCCCCGTTAGTATATGGGGTAACATCTCAAGTTTTAGGGTTGAGGGTCTAGGGTTTAGGGTTTAGGTTGGGGGTTGATTTGAGGCGTTTAGGGCTGCCACTTGCAGGGTTTCAGGGTTTGGGGTTGAATCAGTTGCATCCCATGGTGCACTGCCTAGACCTAAACCCTAAACCCTAAACCCTAAACCCTAAACCCTAAACCCTAAACCCTAAACCCTAAACCCTAAACCCTAAACCCTAAACCCTAAACCCTAAACCCTAAACCCTAAACCCTAAACCCTAAACCTAACCCTACAACCCTACAACCCTACAACCCTACAACCCTACAACCCTACAACCCTACAACCCTATAACCCTATAACCCTATAACCCTATAACCCTATAACCCCATAACCCCATAACCCTATAACCCTATAACCCCATAACCCTACAACCCTATAACCCCATAACCCCATAACCCCATAACCCTATAACCCTATAACCCTAAACCCATGGTCCTTTGAACCCGGACAGGGCGCGCCCGCCACTGGCCGCGACGAGACTGGCTGGGCTCCGCTGCACTACAGCCGTGCACCCGGAGATTGGCCTTCGGGGTTAAGGGTGTAGGGTTTGGGGTTTTGGGTTTGGGTTTAGGGTTTAGGGTTTAGGGTTTATAAGGCATAAAGGTTTAGGGTTTAGGGTTTAGGGTTTAGGGTTTAGGGTTTAGGGTTTAGGGTTGGGTTTAGGGGGACTTGCCAACATGTCGTGTTCAAAGGGAATGGAAGGCTCTGGGGGTTAAGGGGTTAGGGACGATATCAGATGCTTAGGGGGACCTTGCAACAGAATAGCATATCTGCGTATACCCTCAATTTTCGTGGTGGGTGCGGTGCTGACTCTTCTCCTGGTCTGGTATCTCAGTGACCGTGATGTAGTTTCCGAAATTAAGGGTACCTCATTGGGGTCCGTATTTTGAGGGATTCCTACTATTTGCGGACTATATTAGAGGTCCCTTATCTTTATTAACCCCACGGCTTTTGATAATTTCTCATTACAAGTACAATCCAAAGGTAAACAACGAGAACTCTGGGGCAGGTCACATGCTTGCATTGTCGCACATGAGGCATGAGAATCAGGATCTGAGTGAGTTGAACCAAAAAGTCCGCCTCAACAAATATAGGCGTCTTGAACCCTTGGGCCCTCAACCCTACACCCTGAACTCCCTGAAGCTCTATACTCTCAGCATATTTCGTACTGTTTTTGTTGCAAGAGCTTGCGTTGGGCATGGGAAGTCCACTTGGCCTCAGGCTGTCAAGCGAAAGTAGCCCTGTATATACCCAAGAAGTGAAGCCAACAACAACGTAACCCAAGTCCTCAGCCCCAATCCCATTAAACCCCACATAGACCCTAAACCCCTCAACCCTTAACCCTTAACCCTAAACCCTAAACCCTAAACCCTGAACCCTAAACCCTAAACCCTAAACCCTAGTGTGTGAGGAGTGCATGTAGGGCAACTTGAAGGACCTCTTGGGTTTGAGCCCTCAACCACCTCAACGCCCCATATGCTATCCCTAAACCCTAAACTCCAAACCCCAAACCCTAAACCCTAAACCCTAAACCCTAAACCCTGCGATCTGGATGTCGTCCGCATGCTGTGCGTCACCAACCTCTCCGGGGAAGCGCCTCGTCACTTGCGGGTTTAGGGTTTAGGGTTTAGGGTTTAGGGATTTGGGGGGGTTTAGGCTTTAGGGTCCACCTTCCTTAGGGACTAAATGAACCTTAGAAGTGGGGCCAAGTACCCCCACATTCACTCTCTTAAGGTATATGTTTAGGCTTCACTCTGTTTGAGACTAAAACTTGAACCTTAGAATTGGGGTCGATTACCCTTCCACGACCCCTATTAAGGTATGTGGACCAGAAACCCTTTTTGGGCTCATTTCGTGCCCAAGGTTCCCCCATACGTACGTACCCTCTAGGGGATGCGCCTAAGTACCCCTTAGCCTGATGCCCTAAGTCCCCAAAGATCCCGACGCTTAGCCGAGGTAACCGAAAGGCGTTTGTCCCTACAAAGAGGAATGGCTTTCACTGTTCGGGGGTGTACATGTGCATATTTATAAGTATGTATGTATGTACATATATATATATGTTTATATGTGTGCGTGTGTGGATATGTATATATATATGTATATGTACATACATATTCATCTATATATATATATACATATATATACACACCTCCTTAGGAAGTGGTCGTCATCGACCCGGCCTCGCTGGCCGAGTCGGCGGACGTCGCTGGTGAGGTTGCAGGTGGAGTTCTTTGGGCGGTAAACCCCTAAATAAAGGGGTTTAGGGTTTAGGGTTTAGGGTTTAGGGTTTAGGGTTTAGGGTTTAACCCACACCATAAACCCCAAACCGTAAGCCCTCAACCCTAAACCCTCAACTCTCAACCCTATAAACCCTAAACCCAGGGTTCAGGTCTTTGTCCGGGTTTCTCGACATAGGGCGTCCAGCTACAAGGTAGAGCCAACCTTTGAGGGGGGCACCTGGATTTAGGGTTTAGGGTTCAGGGTCTAGGGTTTAGGGTTTAGGGAAAGCCCAAGCCCAAACCCAAAACCCAAACATCTTTGGCTTGAAGGTCCGTCTTGGGTCTAGCGTTCCGAGCTCTTCAGGTTTTTTTCACCCTCCCCCACCCACCCCCCACGAAGCCAACTCCATGTTCGACCCCCCGAAAATGATCCAACTTTCAGACGCCCTAAACTCTCTGACCCGAGAACCCTCCCTCCTAATCCCCAAACAATGTTAAACCCCAAACCCTAAACCCTAAACCCCCAACCCCAAGCCCTAAAGCGCTGCGGTCGACCCCCATCTATAAATCAGGGCGCCTTGCCGCATGAGGCCACGAGGCGCAGGTCTGAAGTCCGTAAGCCGCAGGCCCTAAACCCTAAACCCTATACCCCAAGCCCTAAACCCTAGGCCCTAAACCCCAAGCCCTAAACCCTAAACCCCATACCCTATATAAACCCTTTATACTTCCCTCCTGTCGTCCAGGTCTAGTTGCCACCAAGCTGGACGTCTCGCCTTTCACTGTGCCTGGGGCAGGAGGGCGCCCTTAACCTCAAACCCATGAAACTCTTCAACCCTAGACCCCTAGACCCTAAACTCTTCAACCCTAAACCCTAAACCCTAGCCCGAAACCCTAAACCCTAAACCCTCAACCACCTTGTAGTCTCAAGCGTTCAGTCCTCAAAATTCGGAGAGAGAGAGAGAGCCCCACAGTCTGAGGATGATCTTCTCCCCCCCCTGGCCAGGCCTTGTGACGGTCGGAGTTCAGCGCTTTAGGGTTTCCTTTTTTTTAGTAGTTTTTAAGGTGCCTTATACACTCAATAAAGGAATGGAGATTAAGATTATTTAATGCTATCCCAACTATGAACTAGTTGCAGGGTTTGGGGTCTCAGGGTTCAGTGTTCAGGGCTAAAGTTTAGGGTTTCAGGGTTCAGGGGATCAGAAATTGGGTCTGAGGGTTTGAGGGCTCTATGGTTGCAGGGTTTTACTGCTTCCGTTCTGTCTGCCACTTAAGGTGTATATCGAAGCCCGGCTTCAGCAGTCCATGCACATCATTGTTACATACTCGGGGGGTACCTTAAGGCTCGAGTATTCCTCATTCAGGTACATGGACCCTAAACCCTACACCCAACCCTTGGGGTACGTGGACCCCCCAAGCCGTCTTCCGGGCTAGGTAAAGTTGATACGTAAGTGCCCGAGAGTCCCAAGTGCATCCCGCACTCAATCCTCAATACAGTGATCAGCCTTAACCATACATTGCCCTGAGGACCTAAACCCAGAAACCCCATCCCCCTAAACCCAAAACCCAAAACCCTAAACCCTAAACCCTAAACCCTAAACCCTAAACCCTAAACCCTAAACCCTTGCCCGCAATCCCCCCCGTGCAGTAGACGAGGTGCGGCTGGTGGCAGCGGATGGCGTGGTCTGGGAGCCTACAGCCCCTGTCCACGGCCCGCCGCCAGGCCGCAATCCTCTTAAACCCTAACCCCTAACCCCTAAACCCTAAACCCTAAACCCTAAACCCTAAACCCTAAACCCTAAACCCTAAACCCTAAACCCTAAACCCCAAACCCCAAACCCCAAACCCAAACCCCAAACCCCAAACCCTTAGCCTTGGGTTCCTGGCCTGGACCGTTGGTGCTGGGCTGCGGACTGTTCGTCGTGTGGCCCTTCGAGGTCCCAGCCTTAGGCCGCCACGCCTTGCTGGTATCCCCCTGGCCCTTTCCCAAACCCCAAACCTCAAACCCCAAACCCCAAACTGCGCAAACCCTGAACCCTGAACCCTGAACCCTAAACCCTACCGAAACCCTTTTTCCGCCGAAGTTGAACTCAAGGCTGGATCTTCAGCTGGTGCACCTGCCACTGGTGTCCGACTACAGCGAGGCGACTTGCCTCCATGCCTGCATGAGGGCCCTGGATCCCTTTTAGAGGGTTTAGGGTTTAGGGCTAGGGTTTTTGGGTTTAGGGCTAGGCTTTTAGAGTTTAGGGTTTAGGCTTTAGGGTTTAGGGTGTAGGGTAGAGGGCTGCCCTCTTTAGGCTCCCATCAACCGCATGTAGACTGATTCTGTATCCGCTTGGGTTCGAGGTTCAGGGATTCAGAGCTATTCAGTATCCCCCCGATAATGTAGTGGCCGAAAAATCTTACTAATAGGATTCCCTTGTGGTCCCTATACTGCGGCAGGCCGAAAGTTCGTCGCACTCACAACATAAGACAAGAAGACAGCAGAAGACCCTCACTCCCCCTTAGACTCCTGCGCTCCAAGAGCGCGAGGTACTCCTCCGGAACAATTGAACATAGTATATAGGTTCATTCCAGGGGCTTAAATCCTCCGCGGGCCAGGCTACGACAAAACCATGATGCAGTACTCCGCTGTCCTCCGTTAGCTTTGTCTTGTCAAGAGCGACGAAAGTTAATTCCCGGCCATGTATACTTATACAAAACCTCAACCCTAGAGCTCGGCACAAGCCCTAGTCCGACTCTAGGGGGTTGCAAGGTTCAGGGCCTTGAAAAGGCAGACGCTTGAAGCAATCTTCGACCATTTGGCCCGGTGCGTCGTTCTCATAAACGCCACGTTGCTCACACCCCGAGATCCTAAACTGAGGGATCAGGGCTTAGGGTGTAGGGGCCAACACGCCGCAGCCCGAAACTCTGAGGCCTGCAACCCTAAACACATACATCCTAAACCCCGAACCCTCACCTCGCTCGGACCTTAGAACTAGTCAGCTCCAACACTCCGAACCCGCAGAACTTGGAAGCATCTCCGGCCTCAAAGTTGTAGCTTTTAGAGTTCGGGGTCATCCAGGCAGTGCGTTGCTGAAGTTTGAGACCCCATATAGCTTTCTGCGTCCTAAACCAAAAAGCACGCCCGAGACCTCGTCCTTCTACTTGCCGCATCTATCTCCTTCGTAGTAGCCTCGTTTTTACACGCCAGAATCCCCAAAGCCGAAATCTTACAGCACAAAGTAAACCCTAAACCCTAAACCCTACACCCCCCCCCCCCCCCCCCCCCCGAGGACCTGAAGAAGGCGACCCTTGATGGTAACCACCTCGCTGTCCTGGAGATCCTGAGGCCGGGGTTTATCATGGTTTAGGGTTTGGGTTTTAGGGTTTAGGGTTGAGGGTTGAGGGTTGAGGGTTCAGGGTTTAGGGTGGGTTTCCCGCCTCCCCTCTATACTACCCCCCCAAGGTTCCCCCCTTAAATGACCTTAAGCTTTTTCTTTATCCCAAAATAGCCTTGATTTTGGGGGGAACTTGGGGGAACTTGGGGGGGGTATAGAGACAGGGTAGTAGCCCATGGTTTAGGGTGTTCAGGGTGCTTAGGGCAGGTATCTTCTTCGGTTTGGGGTTTAGGGTTTAGGGTTCAGGGTTTGTGTGTGTGTGTGTGTCATTTAGGGGGGTTTTTGGGTTTAGGGGTGTCATTTAGGGGGACTTAGAGTTTGTGGTTCACCGGTTTATGTGTTTTGGGCATCATACGGCACCATGTCAAAAACAGGTTTCCCGAAAGGGACCCGAATGTAGAGAGCCACCCATATGACCCTAAACCCTAAACCCTAAACCCTAAACCCCATATGGAGTTTGTTCAGGGTCTCAGGCATATCTTACAGAAGCCCGAGGATCCGTTTTCAAGGGTGGGATGATGGGAAAGCAGCCAGATCTGTTGACCCAAAAGGAAACCCTATAGGGTTTAGGGTTTAGGGTTTAGGGTTTAGGGTTTAGGGTTTAGGGTCTCCAAACCCTAAGTCCCAAACCCTAAGCCCTAATTATACATAAACCCTTAGGCTAGTGTGTTTGATACTGACACGCGCTGGCATGACAATCCCGAACTTCTGAACCCCTCACCTTAAGCCCGCGGAAGCCCCTGTCCGCGGCACCAATAACCCTATTCCTGGAAGGCTCAACCCTAAACCCTAAACCCAAAGTGGATTCTTAAGGAGTTCAGGACGTGCAGGGAATGGAGCACACAGCTGTTGGTTGGGTAACCAAGACCCACCCCCCCCAAAAAAAAAAATGAAAAATAACAAATAAACACCAAACACCGTCTAGGGTCTAGGGCTTATCTGTTCTTGAGTTGTACTTCGGGACTGGGCACGCAACCTTTAAGCATTTGTGTTATACAGAATCCTACTATATATAAAAGGTTACCTTGTTTGGGGGGGGTTAGGATATTCAGCCCTAAGTGTACTCATGAACAGAGAGGACGCGCCTTCTAAGGGGGGCAACCTAAGACCCGCCACCCCGCTGAGCGAATCCTACATCCCCAATCAAGCCCGACACCCCCTACTGGAAGCCCTACATCACCTCAACCCCTATCCCCAATGGCGAGCGCAGCGAGCGCAGCGAGCGCAAGCAGCGTGCACGTGACCCTGCTCAGTGGTCGTACCGTTCCGGTGCCTTGGGACGAGGAGCTGAGCGTGAAGAGGTTGAAAGCCTTGGCGGAGCAGGCGCCTCGGTCGTTGTCTAGGGATCCAGCTTCTCCTGGGACTCTAGTCAACTGCAGTTCAGTAGTACGTACATAGGCATTACAAACTCCCAAAGAACTTTAGGCATATAGAGAGGCTCAGGTAATATAACTCTTTGATGCCGAGTACACCCTCATGCCGTGTTTAAGCGTTTCGGCTGAGTTTTTAAGCTCCCTTAATCAGCAACAAGAAGCACCCTTCGCACCCCCTCATTTTTCCTAGGTTACTGGGGAACCTATAGTTGAAATCTCTTTATAGACAACATAAATCCTTTGAAAGCCGTGTAGCCTTACACACACCCTATTTGTGAGTTGGAGGTTGTTTGTGTCTTGTGTCTCTTCAATATCAAAGACTCTGCGCGGTCCTAGCAATAGTATATGTACATAAAAAAATTAAAAAAAAAAAAAAAACAAATAAATTTTATTATATTTACACATATGTATTCATATATTTGTACTTGAAGGGGAACTTCATATTAGGGGAAGGGGGAGGGAGTCAGTCATCTCTGAGCATCAAGGAGCTGGCAGTTGCCATCGGAACACTCTGCAAGGCGGATGGGTCCTAACCCTAAACCCTAAACCCTAAACCCTAAACCCTAAACCCTAAACCCTAAACCCTAAACCCTAAACCCTAAACCCTCTGCAAGGCGGATGGGTCAGTGCTGAGGTGGGGAGACTCCCTGAAAGATGCCGGTCTCCAGGCCGGGGACGTACCTTTGTCACAGTGGGATAACATTTTTCATTTTTAAGGGTACTTAAACTCAAAATTTTTAAGAGTACTTAAACTCAAAATAGAAATTCATTTTTTGTACTATCCCAACCATGAACTGTAGGTACTCTACGCAACAGTGTCCTATCCGCGGCTCCTGTCGGCCCGGCACTTCCCTGGCTTCCTCCTCATGTGTCCGGACGGGACAGCGCAGGGAGTCGGCGCATCCTACTGCTTTGGGGAGTTCCTTAGGGATACTTGGGAATAATTTTCTACTTTTGGGTACTATAATTCCTAATTATAGGAATTATAGTACCCAAAAATGAAAATTATGTTGCTTACAGGCAACAGCTAAAATTATCATTGTTGCTAGGGTTTCAAGTTCAGTTGAGGTTCGCTGCGGTCAGGGACCAGATACATCACGTGGAGGACGTTTGCTTCACGACGGGGGCCTGTGCTGTGCTAAGATCGGACGGGCGCGTGATCCTCAGTAGCTGAGTGGGCACACGTTACACTTTTTGGGAGGCAAAAATCCCCTACAGAACTGAAGGTGTACACTTTTTTGGGGGCTTGTGAAGTCAGCAACTAAGGATCACATGGGGAGGGCGGGATGTTGGAGGCTGCGGCCCGGCGGACCTGGCGAGCGTGACGCAGATCTGCTCCACCTTTGGCGCGGTTGCGGCTCTGCGAGCTGATGGAAGTGTGGTGGCCTGGGGAAATCCGGATGATGGTGGAGATTGTAGCCAAGTTCGGGCACAGCTCCAAGGAGTAGACCGACTCTATAGCTCAGGGCAGTCTTTTGCAGCCGTGCGCCAGGACGGCTCGGTGGTCACTTGGGGTGATTGCTCGGGCTGTGGGAGCGGTGACAGCAGCGACGTCCAAGACCAGCTGAAAGATCCGATCGCGATGACTGGAAACTGCGGTGCTTTCGCAGCGCTGCTAGGCGATGGCAGCATTGTTTGTTGGGGTGATCCTGCTTCTGGCGGGGACTGCTCGCAGGTGCGGCCGCTGCTGGCGACTGTCACGGCCCTCTACAGCAACGACCTGGCTTTTGCCGCTGTGCGCGCAGATGGCCGCGTGGTAACTTGGGGCGGCCCCAAAAGTGGGGGCGCAAGCGGTATTGTCCAGGCTAGGCTTCGGAATGTGAGAGATGTAAAGGCTTCGGATGAAGCTTTCGCGGCCCTCCTCGAAGATGGCACGGTGGTGACCTGGGGATATCGAAAGGACGGTGGCGACTGCCGCCCAGTCCAAGACCAGCTGCAAGGTATCCGAGAGCTCTGTGCTTCATCGAATGCCTTCGCAGCTCTCAGGCAAGATGGCTGCGTCGTGACCTGGGGCAAGATGCAGCTATATCACCCTTTTGGAATCATTTTTTTATATAGAACCCAATTGAGATATTAAAGATACTCTTTTTTTCTTGAGGTTCTAAGGGGAGTATAAGGCAGATGCCCATCATCGCCGACGTACAGAGTTTATGGGGCGCTCTTGGCCGCTTTGCGGTCGTCCTGTCCGACGGCCGTGTCCTCTGCTCCTCAGGGAAGACCTGCGAGTGGATACCTATTGAGATTCTGTGACGGCTGGCATTCCTTTGCTGAGCCGGATTAGGGCCTTATAAACCCTAAACCCTAAATCCTAAACCCTAAACCCTAAACCCTAAACCCTATAGACCCTAAACCCTAAGCTGGATTAGGGCCCTTTCCGACATCCCGGGATCCCTGTTTGAAAACAAACGAAGTAGCAGCTGTCCATGCTTGCAACTCTCCTACTCTTAGACTCTTAGCAAGGATTCCTGGGACCCTGTTTACCTACAGGTTTTATGGGTTCTACTACGAACTACGAATTAGGAGTAGACACTATAAACTGTAGGTAAAAGAGGGTCTCCAGGTAGTGGTTGGTTGCCAAACATCAGCTTCTCAGTTCGAGTATGCCCGTGATGCGCCTATTGCTGTTCTGATGTGGGTGGCCTGCGAAAATCGGGGCAGGGGGCTCCTTTGAAAGGATTATGTGGTACTTTGGGGTATGTAAGGGGTGCCCCTGTTTTCGGAAATCCCCATGTTAGGACTCGTGGACACGGTTCTCAATGTGCTTGCGTTTGTGCTTGCTTCTTTCCTCGGCCACGTGCCGGTGGCAGCTCTCATCGTTGTCAACGTTTCAATAGAAATGCGTGCTTGACCAGCCACTCATGAACCTAGGTAGGACGGGAATGTTTATTCAGCTACGGGGCCAACCTAGCAACCTAAACACTGCCCTAAACCCTAAATCCTAAGCCCTAAACCTGAGGCTTTTCCCTAAACCCGAAGCCCTAAACCCTAAACCCGACACCCTAAACCCTAAACCCTAAACCCTAAACCTTAAACCCTAAACCCTAAACCCGAAGGCATATAAGGGTGAGGGTTAAACCGCGCGGGTTTAGGGTTTAGGGTGTATATGGCCGTATGAGACAGCTCTTGCGCTCCAGGTGCTGCCCAGACCCCAGACCCCAGACCTCCCCCACAAGGGGTTTAGGGTGTAGGGTTTAGGGTTTAGGGTTTAGGGTTTAAGGGTTTAGGGTTTAGGAGCAAAAACCCTAATTTCTTGGGGGGGGGGGGGGGGTAAACCATATAGTTAAACCCTTAAAACCCTTGATCCCTATAAACCTTAAGCCCTATAAACCCTATAAACCCTAAAAACCCTACAAACCCTACAAACCCTACAAACCCGAAACCCTAACCCGATATCCTAAACCCTACACCCTATGAACCCTTAACCCCATGATGCAGCCCTAAACCCTAAACTCTAAACCCTCAACCCTAAACCCTAAACCCTAAACCTTGAGGGTGTCAGCGCAGGAAGTGCCAGGATCCGAACGTGGCGGGCCAGACGCTCTTGGCCCCTCGGCGGGTGCTTCTTTGGGGTTTAGGGTTTAGGGCTAGGGTTTAGGATTTCGGGTTTAGGGTTTAGGGTTTGGGGTTTAGGGTTTAGGGCTTAGGGCTTAGGGTTTTGGGTTCTCAGGGTGTAGGGTTCAGGGTCTGTGTGGGGTTCAGAGTTTCAGGTTTAGTGTTCAGGGTTTATTAGGTTCAGTTTAGTGTTGAGGGTTTTCAGGGTTGTCAGTGGTTTCATTCAGGCTTTTTTGAGTTGCAGGCAGGAAGACAAGATGGGGCTTGTTGTCCCCGGCTTTTGACGGTATAGGGTTTAGGGTTGAGGGTTTAACGTTTAGAGTTCTTCTGACCCAATGTCCACACTACTCCTTAAACCCACACCGCATAGAAACCCTGGAACTATAGACCCATATCCCTATAGACCCTAAACCCTAAACCCTATCCCTAAAGACCCTGACCCTACAGTAAAACTCGGCAAATCTTTCGGTGCCACACAAGAAGCCCATAAGCAATCCATAGGAACCCACAAGCTGCCTCTACAAACTCAGCTTAAGGGTCTAGGGTTTAGGGTTTAGGGTTTAAAGGTTTGGGGTTTACGGTTACCCCCTAAACCCTCAACCTTAAGCTCTAAGCCCTAAACCCTAAGTTTTTGTACAAAGAAGCCCCTCAGCGCAACTCTGTTTCGAGGTTGGTGCCATCTCACAAGGCTTCCTGGACGTGGCGCGCTTGCTGCTCCCCGCCCGAAACTTTCCAGGTTTCAGGTTTGTGGGGATGCGGTTTCGTGTTCAGGGTTTCAGGTTTCAGCGTTTAGGGTTTTGATCGTAGGGTTTAGGGTCTGGTGTTTGGGGCTTGAAAAATGTGCGGTTCTGGGGCTTGGTGGACTCTTATCGCAACGGTCCATCCCCAAACCCTAAACCCTAAACCCTAAACCCTAAACCCTAAACTCTAAACCCTAAACCCTAAACCCTAAACCCTAGAACCCTAAAACCCTAAACCCTAAACCCGAAAACACCCCAAAGGCTACAAGCGCGGGGAGCCGTGGATGCGCGGGATTCCGCCGGTCGCACAGCTGCTCGGAAGCGCGTTTGGAGCTTCAGGGTTGAGGGTTGAGGGTTTAGGGTTCAGGGTTTAGGGTTTAGGGTTTGGGGTTTAGGGTTTAGGGTTTAGGGTTTGGGGTTTAGGGTTTGGGGTTTAGGGTTTGGGGTTTAGGGTTTATAGGGTTCAGGGTTTAGGGTTTGGAGCTTTTCATTTAGGGTATAGGGACTTGGGTTTGGGGTTTTGGGTGCAGGGTCTAGGGTTTAGGTTTTGTAGTTTAGGGTGAGGATCCTTGTGGAGAAGCCCTGTTAAATATTTGGCTGAGACGGACAGGGGTTGGTCAATACCTTAAGAACCCCAAAGCTTTGTGTTGCAGGCTACCTAAGCATCCAAAAAGGGTCCAAGGTTTAAGATCTAGGTTGAAACTAGGGAATCCTGTTAGGTGTTTGTTCTTCTCCAACGGCTCTTATAAGGAATCAGAAGGAACCCTGTTATTAAGGCTAATCAAAGCAGGCAACGGTACCACCGTACCCGGCTTTGCATTGATTCTGAGCCTGGCGGAACCCTCTGCACCTTGAGGATCGATACGGTTCATTCAAGGGAAACCTTGTGGACTCTTGAAAAACCCTAAACCCTAAACCCTAAACCCTAAACCCTAAACCCTAAACCCTAAACCCTAAACCCTAAACCCTAAACAAAAAAAATGAGATTAAAAGCAAAGCCAAGCATTAAGAATCAGCAAACACAGCACGCGGATGGGCTCCCTGGAGCTTGTTTGCTGTTGCTTTCTGCTTCTTCTTACTATTCTGCTTATTACACAGTTTGTTTGCGTTGTTTTCTTGTTTTTTGGCGGGTTTTCCCGCGAAAGAAGCATATGGAGAGAATACCAAGAAAAAGACGGGAAAACGAGACAAAAAGCAAAGGTCTCGGGACTGACCCGGAGTTTATGTTTGTTTTGATGTTTTTTCGGGTTTGGGGTTTAGGGTTCAGGGTTTACGCAAATAAGGGACCCCTAATTTAGACCCAACGAGTAGGATCCCCCTAAGATATGGACCCCAATAAGGTACCCCTGATTTCGGAACCCCCCCCCCCCCCCCCCGCCCCAGTTTGTTCTGTTTGCTTTTGGTTTTACTGGTTGCTGGTTCCCTCATGTTTAGTTTTCCTGTTGTTGTTCGGGAAGGGTTTTAAGGATTCGTTAGGTTCAAGGCGTGCAGTTTGCAGGTTAGAGTTCGTGTGGACTCTGGAGGACCTCTTAGCATGGGTTCCCCTACTACCCCCCTCTATGCTACCCCCCCCCCCCCCCCCCCCCCCCCCCCCCCCCCCCCCCCCCCCCCCCGAAATAGCCTGAATTCGGCGTAACTATTCCTAAAGAGCCTTGCTTATGGGGTGACAGGGGCGGGGTAGTAGGGGAACCCAATCTTTGCTTGCTTACATTAAGCCCCTACAGAACAAGCACCCCCTTGTCATGCCTAGGCTACCGGCTGGGTTCCGGCATCCTCAAATTGCCTTGCAATAACCTTTACAAATCCTTGTCCCTACCCTGAAGCCTCTGTAGACCCTCAGCCCTAAACCCTAAACCCTCAACCCTAAACCCTAAATCCTCAGCCCTGAAAATTACCATCAGCAGTCAAAGAGGCTCTAAACCACGCCTGCGGTGCTGGGCAGCTGAAAGCGGTCCAATTGCTCACGCGTGCGGGGGCAGACAAGGAGAAGATGTTTAGATGGGGCTTCGGGTGTATAGGGTTTAGGATTTAGGGTTTGGGGTTTAGGCCCTTAGGCCCAAAACAGGCCAAAACCGAACACAGTAATTAAGGCCCTTGGGCCCCTGGAAATAAGAGGCCTTGGGATTATGGAACAAAATACCCCCAAAAATGAATGTAGTAGGGTTTGTGGGGTATTTAATTCCACAACAGTACTACAAAGGACCCTCTGGGTGACCCTAAACTTTCGACCCGAAACCCTACGTAGTCCTAAACCCATTTGTAGTCGAACAGAAATTCCGGCAAGGTTTGTTCGATGCTGGAAGCAATCCAAGACATGCAAGTACTGATCTTGAACTAAGAATAAATGTGCATAGTAAACGAATGAAGTTTTAATTTCTTGTCAATGTGCAGCCGGGGGTGCCTATGGGTGGACTTGACGGGTCCCCCCTCCTAAGAAATAAGTTTTCCCGGCGGCTGACACGACAAGTTCTGTAGGTACTGCAGTTCTTTGAAAGCACGGAGTGATCTGATCTGGGCTTCATTTGGGGTTGCGTGCACGGGTGGGCTTGGGCACCCTACAGTAAGCGGCCCTGAACCCTAAACCCCCTAAACCCCCTAAACCCTCTACACCCCCTAAACCCCATAAACCCCCATAAACCCCCTAAACCTCCTAAACCTTATATATTGTGCCGACGTCCCTGATGGATGGAGCCGAGAGCCAGTCATACGATGATCTGAAGCACCGAAAGGCTGCATCGCAGAACAAGGCGGGTGAGAGAGATTCTGAGAAGGGAGGGCCATGGCCGGAAGTCAAGGTGTTGATGAACAAGGCCAATGCGAATAAGATGTGGGTATATAGGGCATGGCAACACGGAGCAGTACGGTGAGCCATCAAAGGAATATAAGGCTGCGTACACTGCATTCTTGAATAGGCTGCTACGATACAAGATCATAGTTCTGCCAGTCGGTGTGATGATGCCGAGATTGCCAGAGCTAGTGCGCGGTGCTACCACAGGTGCACACTTATTGCTAAAACCCTAAAACCCTAAACCCTAAACGGCCCTAAACCATAAACCCTAGACCCTATGAGGAGTTTTCGTGGGTTACTTAGGGACCAAGGGTTTTTAGGGGTCGCCCAAGCCTTGAATCGTAAGGCTTTAAGGATTTGTTGGGCCCAAGGGGTCGTAGCCCTTAGCCTTAACCCTATACCCGTAGAAAAGCCCTAAACCCTATAAACCCTGCATCCTAACCCCTAGAAAAGCCGCCCATAAGGCCTAGAAACCCTGTAGATTTCACAAACGCTAGAAGCCCTATGTAAACCTTAGAAACCCTATGGAGGCCCTGTAAAGAAAGAAACGTATCCTTATAAGTCCCACAGTTCGCATATGTAGATTCGTAACCCTAAGCCCCAAACCCCAAACCCCAAACCCCAAACCCCAAACCCCAAACCCCAAACCCCAAACCCCAAACCCCAAACCCCAAACCCCAAACCCCAAACCCTAAACCCTAAACCCTAAACCCTAAACCCTAAACCCTAAACCCTAAACCCTAAACCCTAACCTTCAGAAGGAGATTG